GCTCCTTTTAGCATTTTTCAACTTTTTACTTTACTTTCTGTTTTTTTTTATTTTTTCAACAAAGAATAAGAAATTTTAAAGAAAAAAGTGGTTGAAAATTAAGTATAAAAATGTTTCAAAAAATCTATGAAGCTAAAGCAACATAACATCAATTGAGCAAAAAGTTTACATAAATACCAGTCAATTCCAATGAATTTACATATCTAACACTTAGATTTTGCCTTTTACATTCAGACCACTCAAATCTTTCAAAATTCCTAGCTTTTATAAATCAAATGACAAAACTTTCTGCTGCAATCAATTCTATTATATACCAAAGCTTATGCAGCAAATCGGAAACCTGTAGTAAGGTTTAAGAATTACCGGTTGGTCAGGCTTCCACATAGAGGTGAAACGGAGGAGAACAACAGCCATGGCAACAATAAATGTCGATCTGATGAGCGAACGAAATAGCCTTCGTGACAGCTCCATTCTTCGGTGCATCTCCTCTTCCCTATGACTAGCGCGAGTTTAGATTGGTCATACAAATTATTGAGATTCTTCGCTTCTCTGCTGTCTGATTTTCTGCAGTGTGGAGCCATTGCATATTTGCATAAATGACCTGCAAGTCCACTTTTTCTTCTCTAGGAAAATTAAAAAAGAAAAAAGAGAAAAAAGTTCAGAAAAGGAACGCTGAGGGAGAGGAGAAGATCTGCTTTGATCCACTCATTCTTCTTTTCGTGGCTTCTCCCATCCAAGCTGCGGAAGACTAGCTGAGTGAATGTACTTCTATGGTTTCTCTCTTTAAGAGAAGCAGCACCTTCTCTGCCGTTAAGGAAGTCAAAGATCGGCGTGAAAGAGGAGAACAAAAAATGTGAAGTCGGGGTGAATAAGATCGGGAGCGGGCATGTGCGTCAAAGTAAGAAGGAAAGCACCCAGTCAAAGCGGGCCGCACGAAGGATCCGCAGCCCGAAACCCGCAGCCCGCGTTTCGCTGCGAGTCGAGGCCGCCGCAATCAAATCGCCGGGTGATGTCGTGCCACACAAATAAATCCACCACAAACAGACCTTTATTCAAGC